TTTTACAGGTAAAAATTATTTAGGTGTAAACTCGGCCCGGATAAAAATGTTTTTATATAATTTTCTTATAATATTTTTAAGAACCATTAAGCATTATCCAGAGGTCACCACGAGGAGGCGATTCTCATTATCCTCCAAATTTTTTTCATTTTCGKATTATTATTCATAGTATGAAAATCGTTATAAAACTGTAAAATGTATTTATGTAAATTTGTAAGTGTAAAAATTGTAAAAATATAATGTATAAATCTATTTTTTAAAGTTAAAAGCCATGTGTTTAACGTATTCACTTACTGATATTTCCTTATTTTTATATTTCGTAAATGTTCTTTCTGAGAGTTATCTTTTTTTTTTTTAGTTTTTGTATTCTGAAATTGAAATGGTGCATATAGGCTGTTGATTTTAATGTACGTTTCTGTTTGTATTTCTTTTAATTTCGCAATGACGGAATATATATTGGGGTGAGTGGAATTGAATCTTGATCTAAAATGCGCATATTATCGGGCCGAGATTACAACCGACCTTTTTTATTACCTGAAATTTCCGGGCCGAGTTTACAATCTACATATTTTATTACCTAAAATTTTCGGGCCGAGTTTACATCAAAAAAGGTAATCGCGGGCCCAGTTTACATTTGCCCAAATGAGCTCGCGGTGCCACAGATCAGGAACCGCTGTTCTAAACTAACATACCATATTTTAGAAACCTAAAATCATACCCATATCCACGTGAATTAATATCGCATGCGGACAATCGATTTAAACGGGTTCGGACGTAGACGTTAGATTGAGATATCCAACAGGTGTCGGCGAAAATATAAAATATATACCTATATATTTTTTATTTTTATTATTGGTACAGCATCAACATCGTGGCAATTAGCTTACAATTAGGTTACATACATGGATTTTTACATGACTAAAATACATATTATAGGTTTATTACAGCACATTTTACGTTGTACGGTAAAACTTCTGCAGGCCGCTATAAGTGTTATTGTCGCATACTCCCATGTAATAGTAGTTTGTAGACTTGTATAGTGTATTATAATTTATAATAATATTATTGTTCTAATATAAACGTGAATTCAACGTGAAATTTTAAATGATCAGATAAATTTTACCTACTGTACGCAAGGCGTAGTCACTTGGAAAAATATTTAATCTGTCTGGTCGGGATAATAATATAATATTACTCCAAAAGCCACGAGTGTGTAATATTTCTGATGAAGTTGACTGCACATGGTGCGCACACGTCATAATACGATATAATTATGTTATAATGAGTACTCTAATATTTTCCATATAAAACCAATGATTTATTACAGATGAAAGCGTTAGGGTGCAGATCCGCGACCACACAATAGAAAACTCTGCCGATATTGGGCTTTACAAGTGTAGAGTTCAAAACATATAAAAAAATAAATAGAAAAGTGGAATTATACGATTCGAGGTCTAAAACTGCAGCCACCGCAGTCATGTCGATAGTAACTGATGGTGCAACGACATAATATTATAATAACAATATCATATTTGACTGGCACACAATATCATTGTGATTTGTGACTTGTGACGAAGGTTTATTGTAAACAATTCCTATTTAAATACGAATTTGTATTGAAAAATTACACTGAAACACGATGCAAACATAGTAATCAGAGATATTTTTGTCGTTTAAATATATTATGGTTTAATGTTACATAAATACATAATATTATTAATAAAATATTTATGTCAGGCTGTATGAAAAACATACTTATTTAATGATTTAATAAAATTAAATGGACCAATCATGGGCCACTAAAATATGTTTGAAAATATCATTAAAAGAGCTCACTATTGATTCGTTAAATGTTTAGTGATTGTTCATGCAACCCGGCATTACACGTACCAATCTAGAAAATAATATATCATTATACGAGTCCGTAAATCTTATTTTGCTAAACGCTCACAGTAGAAATTACAAAAATATAACATTTCAAAAACATAAATAATTACTCGTACCAACTATATGTTTTATGTAGATAGGTAAAAATAATAATGATGCGATGGACATTTGACTAATGAGCCGCGCACTCATTGATGCGGTATTATTACTGCCGAATGGATGTTTTAAAGCATCATAATAATATTATAATCACAATAGTATTATTATATCACGCCGGTAACCGAAAATAACATATAGTTTTATAATAACAAAAAGGAAAAACTAACCTGTGCGGAAATACTCGGATTGACCGTAGGCGCAGTGTACAGTATTGTGATGTAGTGCTGTCCGTGGTTGTAGGTACCTAAATTGGATAAATTGTACCTAGTTAATTTTTTACCGCGAGATTGAACTTATTTTCTTATTCGTCCGAAATCGGCGAAAGCAGTTGTAGTGACTGAACGAAATAGTACGACGACAGTAAGAATAAGCCGACCGTGAATATGAATATTACAATATTGCCTCGACGATCACGTGCGATCGATAAACAGCGTACGCCGGCTGTCCGATAATAATTCTCACTTCTTTATATACCTAGGTTTAGGTGGTCTAATATATATATATATATATATATATATGTGTGTGTGTGGTTCTCCAATGTAAACTGCCACCAAAACGTAACGCGAGTGGGGAACGAAAAAAAAAATTGAAATAAATATAATGAGCGAAGCGTATACAAAACAAAAAATCGTCAGACTACCTACGATATTATATTTATATAATTTTTTTTTTTCAAATCGGATCGCCAACACAGCTGCGTAAGCCAGGTGCGTGCATTCGGACGTGCAGGGCGTTTCGACACCATAGGAAAACGTATATAGGCGAGGAAAGACGCAATAGGGGAGAGTAGGAGATAGTCTGATGGTGGGGTTGGTCGATCCGTTGTCGTTATTATTACTATTATTATTATTGGCAATGATCGACGACACGAATTATTTGTTTTTTTTAATCGTTTTTCACCTTGGCACTGTCGTCGGCGTCATCTTCAAACATGCAGTGACGAAGACCCAATGTACAGGTATTACATAACAATAATAATATTATGGTGTTCCAACCGCCGCAACAATATTCCACGTATACAATAATAAAGATAATATGCACTATAATAGTGTAATTATTTGTGATTCGAACTATTGATCCGTGACTCCAAGGGCAAGGGCGATCGCAGGGAACGATGTATAACAATATATTGTGTCCGTCATCTCATCGAAAATTATTCAAGGTCGTGTAGAGAGAGAGAGAGAGAGAGAGAGAGGGAGAGAGAGAACTGCGCAAACGTGCTTGATAATTTTTTTTTTCGGGATGGTTTTTGGAGTAACTATAGGTGCATAATAGTTTATCGAGCAAGTGCCTATAATATATAAAATATATAACCGACGACCGCAGCACGATGCAATAATACACTTATTGTAACAAACCGATTAACCCTCTTATGTATTCCTTCTCTTATATTTCTATGTATGGCCATATTGTTTAATGGTGTTGTARTTTGAACTTTGAACTTTTAAGCACTAAATATTAATACCGTGCTTGTATTAACCAAATATTAATATTATATTATATTCTAGACACTTCTACATTAGGTACCTACCGGCTACCATCTACAGCAATCAAATAAAAAAAATACGATCTTCGAAATTTAAATATTTTTAGACACGAATTTGTGACATAGCCCACATGATTAAAACATCAATCAATATAAATTTTTATTTTTATTTTTTACGTACCTACTAAGTTTCTACGTGGTACTAGAAAATAGTATTTATCATAAAATATACAGCATTTAAAAAATTTGTCAAGTACATATATCATATTACCTATAGTTAAGAGATGTGTAAAAATATGCACTAAATATTTTTAACATCTTAACTATATAGATAGGTATTCATTTCGTGTCGAAAATTATTATAAACWAATTTATAAAATTTACCTAGCAATAAATTTTGTTCGTAAAATCAACGACATGTAAGTCYAAAAAGTTTTAGGTAGATCACCCGAGAAATTTGCTGTTAATATACTGATATTAGCAGACAACGGTATGTCGATATATAGGTACAAAAAACAAAACAGCGGTAGACGCGTTGATATGTTTACCATACAATACAATTTGAACTGTCACCGCCTAGTGGGAATTCTCAGCAATAAAATTATTTAATTAGCATTTATTATGTTACGGGTATGTATCTTTTTTTCATTACGGATAGTATAATAGTATGTGGCGTTAAAAAAATCTTAGGTTCACAAAAATCCTACCGAGAAAGTTTTTTTCTAAAAATGAAATTCTTTTGGCTTTTTGGTGACTATATTATACTTAATGCGAATAATATTGGTACCTGATTTCAACATAATAATATATTGGAGGTCACAAAGAAATTAACAAAATATATTAAATCGTATAGTATGCGAAATCATCTGCAGACTGCAGCCCAGCTGTAGTCTCATCTATATTATAGCATTAAAAAAGGTATTAGCATTAAAATGTCGTTGGAGTTAAGTTTGTGCAGATTTGCTCATCATTTGTTTACTTATATTACCATGAACATTATTCCATTTTGGATATTTGTATCGACAAGTAAATTCTTGTTAGATCAAGTTAACGCCTTTAAATACAGCTGACAATAATAAAATCGTTAAATATAACTGTTTGAACAAAATACTGACAAATTGCATTTATATTTTTGAATATAATAATATTGTATTACATCATATAGTGTAACAATATATATGTCAAATACCAATCACAAAATATAATTGGTTTTTAATATTAAAACGTCATTAAAGTTTAGGTTTTTGAGGGTACCGCCAAACTCTCTCAAATAACCGCTCTAGATGCGATTTTATAAGTATAAATGCGTCCGGAGCGGTAGTGAGAAGGGAAATGAGTGTGAGCGGGATTCGATTGCTGAAGCGGGTAAAAGGAAATGGATTTCTGCTGTAACGTAAATCGCGATATATGAACAGAGCAGTAACTTGGTGGCTAACTTACTCTTTCCCGCTTTATAAACAYTTATAGGATATAGTATTTTAATAATTATGYTAAACAGTTGTAGCTATTAGAGAGATGGATAAACTATTAACTATAGACAAATAAATAGATTAAATATAATATAAATTATTAAATTAAGAAAACAAATTTTTGATTTATGTACGATAAAATGTTTTATTTTAATTATAACTTAATACTGAAGACTAATTTAAGTAATATATTTAGATTCCGTTTTATTAATTAGTTGAAAAACTAAAACTTGGAACCATATAAATTATATGTTTAGTTCCGTTGTAATAGTCAATTGMAAATTATAAATTGRGATCATGAAATTCTACTAATTTTAAAAATTGTTCTTGTAGAATTGACTGTTTTCAACAGAAATCTTGAAGAATTGCTATTTATTTTTACCGGTGGATAAGACTAATAACCAGTGTATATCGWATTTTTCCCGTTGCATTAGTTAACATCAAAACTAGAAACTGGAACCACAAAAACTGATATTATTCACTAATTTCTATTATGGTAGAATKTTAGTCATATTTTTAGCTTCTTTTACATAATTAGCTATAAATCAAGAATTTGGAACCATGAAATTTTACAATTATAAATGATTTTATTCTAGGGATAGTCTTTTTTCCAAATGAAACTTAGAATACTTTCAATTTTTAAGGATGGATAATAAAGACAATGTTGGCCATGTGTTTAACTTTCCTTTTCTTAGTTAATAGCAAAATTATAATTTGGAACAACGAAATTCTGCTAGTATTAACTATTTTTATCRTGTAATAGTCTGTTTTTAAAGGACATTTTTAAGTATTTTGTGATGAAATGCTTGAAAATATACCTACCTATTTTTTAAATTTATATGAATGTTTCTTTTTTTATCTCCTATAAGCAATATTTGTTTGTTTACTTATAAATGGTTACCA